AGCCAGCATGGCTGACTGGGGAATTCTGGGCGTTGAAGTCCACATATCTTAAAGTCGCTAAGGTTGAGAAACACTGACCTAGAGCATCAGAAAAGGCAAATTTGTTTTCAGCCTTAAAAAAGCACCCAAGCCATCTTTCCCCCCATTCAGCTCCACACCCTCCTCGAAGGGCAGGATTTAGGTCCAGAATGCATTCACACAAGTGTTTCTAACCCAGGAATAACAATGTGTTTTTGAACATGTTAAGAGCAGTTTTCCAGGCCTATTCTAGTAGTATTCCCTGGTTTCCTATGTCATGCTTTGTTTAAACACGGTTTGTTGAATAAATCACAACTGATTGGGTTCCCCGAAACTGTGGATTCCCAGTCCACAACAGCTGGGTGGGCACAACAGACTAAGTCACAAACCAACCGTGTTATAGCTTCACGCAGTACATACATCAGCAAGAGGGTGACCAACCAGAAGCTGCTGCTGCTGCTTCAGTTAATTTAAGGGGAAAACGGCTCTTCTGAGCTGATTTTTTGGGGGGGAGGACAGGAAATACACCCTCACCCCAAGACCTTGGGCTTCTCCACTCCCAAAGCTGGCCCAAGGTGGAATGCTGGAGAACGAGAGTGCCTCTGAACATACACAGAGTGCATTCTTCTCAATACCATCAGCCCTGCTCCCCCTTTTATCTGCAGTTAGGGTTCCCAGCACACAAGGAAAAGAATGTGGGGATAAATGGGTAAAACACAGAAAAAATAAAAGAGGGAAAAAAAGAAAATTACTAGCTCTTTGGTCAGCTCTTCGGTGGCTGACAAAGCACAAAAGGACTGCTGGGTTTTTCTTTTCCTTCCCTTAAAGCAGCTTCAGACCGAAATTGAGCAAAGCTGTTTGTTTATTTGCGGATCCACTCGAGATCCGCTTGCTCCCTTCGATCCGTGGCACGGGCGAGTGCAGACCGGCGCTCGCTCGCCCACACCCCCCCCCGGCCGCTGCACCTCCCCTCCCCGAGGAGCCGGTCACTCGCGGGGG